TATATATATATATATATATATATATATATATAGCCATTCATTTTCTTTGCATTTAAGTGTTATTTGATATCTACATTAGACGTTATGTTTCGTAGCACTTTCGATTCATTCTTGTCATTTCATTTTGATGGAAGTCAGTAAACATTTGTAATTTTCTATTTCTGTATCATGCTTATACCACTCTATGTTCAGCATGTTGGAAATATTGACTGTCCTTTGGGGCCTTTTTTAGCATGAAAACTTGTAACTTATGTTTCGGTCTTTTCTTTTACTTTATTTTCCTAGAAATGGGTCTCAATCGTCAAAGAAAAAATCGGATAGCTCGCGTTCGAGGAAGGGGTGTACATCAAAATCCATCTCCAAGTTCACCTCGAAAAAATGAGCCATCTGTCATCACAAATGCAGGGCGTGATCTTATTATTGACGTCTTGCACCACGCAGCAAGCGGTGGATCAGTTCCAGTTCCTGAAAAACATTTTGATGGTGTGTCTGGGACGCGTATTACTTTCCATAAAAATTCTCCGATGACTCCCACAGGGACGCTTCAACTTTTGTTCGAGGCACTTGGCTTTCCACGGGATTTGGTAGCGCAATACATTGAGGATATTGTTCAAAGCTCAGAGTTGCCAAATTTTTCAAACATTACCGAATTGATGTGTGAGGATGGTGTGCATCAACCATTCCTGTTGAATTGCTGTTTCGATTTGTTTGATTGTATGACGAACTTTTTTCGAGAGGAGGCTTGCACGGATTTGACTTGTGAAGAAAATGCGAGCTGTATACTTGATGAGGAAATAGAAACTCTCAGAGAGCTATTTAGTGACTCGTTAGTAAGTGTGAAGAGTTTCTCTGACGCGGATTCGGAGGGTCACGAAATCGTTTTAAACTTTTTAACCGAAGATGAAAAGCCGATTCTCGTTTCGATTAGAATTCCTGTGGATTACCCAGCTGAGCCTCCGTCACTCTTTTTACAACCTCGGAAAGGCCACTCTAACACTTTGTTAGTGTATCCCTCTTGCACCAAAGACCTCCCTGCGGCAGCTCGTCGGATGGCCATGAATGCTGCAATTGAGACAATAAACGGACTCCAAGAATCTGCTTGCCTTTTGCCACTTGTTTCAACTATTAGAGATGCAATTGGAGGTATTATGGTTGAGGCACCTGCTGCCCCGTCAACTGCGAATTCCAACTCAGAGAGCGTATTGAAGAGTCAGAAAGTAGCTGAGCAGCGTAAAGCGTTTCTGGGTGCCCTCACCGATGGGAAAAAAAGTGTTGGGGATAATGACGGTGAAGGAAATTCTGTCGAAGTTTTAATGCCTGAAAAGATTCAGATGCAAACAATAGAGAGACCGACTAGTCTAGAGGAGGAACAACGGACAGAGTACCTTGTGGAGAACCCTGCCCTGAGTAACTCGTTAAAGGTTGCGTGGGAAAGGTTGCAGAATAGAGGTTCCCTTAGCAAGGTCAGAAAGGAGCTTCCTGCTTATCAAGCACGCGCTGCCTTAAAAGATACGCTACGTGATCACAACGTCGTCGTCATCAGTGGTGAGACCGGCAGCGGTAAGACTACTCAAATTCCCCAGTACGTGTATGAGTTCATGTGTGAGGATGGGAAGGGAAGCTCAGCTAACATTGTTTGCACGCAACCACGTCGCTTGGCGGCCACGTCGGTTGCTCTTCGTGTGGCTGAAGAGCGTGATGAGGCTGTCGGTGGTTTGGTTGGCTATTCCATTCGCTTGGAAAATTGCATCTCTAGGCGCACACAGATAACCTACTGCACAACCGGTGTACTCTTTCGGCGCTTGCAAACTGACAAGTTTCTTGGCTCAGTGAGTCACGTCCTGGTAGACGAAATTCATGAGCGCGGTGTCTACACGGACTTTCTTCTTATCCTCCTCCGTGACTTGTTGGCTAAGCGGAATGATTTAAAAATTATTCTGATGAGCGCAACGATGGACTCAGATCTCTTTGCCCGCTACTTTGGTGGAGCGCCTATCATTTCTATTAAGGGAAGAACTTTCCCGGTGGAGGTGATGCACTTGGAGGAGATCATTCCTGCTGTTCATTACCACTTGGAGGACGGCTCACCCTATGCTAATTCATCAGGCACTAAGGGCGCAGTAAAACGTAATACGCGCAAAAATGTCCTAAATATTGACATGGATGATGCTGAAGACGATCTGAAGCAGCTGGAGTTGCAGAAACAGCTTTCGAAAAGGGTGCATGCGTCCGCTGCAACCCTGGACACTATCTCTCGCATGAATCTCGATATCATTAATTACGAACTAATTGAGCATATCGTGCGGTATATTGAATTTACGATACGGATAGATGGCGCAATACTTATTTTCTTGCCAGGTATGGCAGAAATTCAGCGCTGCATGGAGCAACTTCAGTCAGATGAGAGCCTTCGTCGTGTGTCTCTTTTTTACAACTTGCACAGCTCACTTGCCTCTTCGGAGCAGCAGGGTGTCTTCCGGCGACCTCCACCTGGGAAGCGAAAGGTTATTCTTGGCACCAATATTATGGAGACTTCGATTACTATAGACGATGCTGTATTTGTCATCGATACTGGGAAAGTCAAGGAGAACCGCTACAACCCCCGAAAGAGCCTTTCAGAGCTCGTGACAGTAAACGTTTCCAAAGCCAACTGCCGCCAACGACAGGGCCGTGCGGGACGCGTGCGGGAGGGGTTCTGTTTTCGACTCTTCACAAAGGAGCAGTTTGAATCATTTGCGGATCATCAACTATGCGAAATGCACAGAGTGCCGCTTGAAAGCCTTGTATTGCAGATTTATGCTCTACACTTGGGCAATGAAGTGGAGTACCTGCAAAAAGCACTTACTCCACCTGAAGAGAGGGCTATCCATAGCAGTGTTAAGGTGCTCACCACGCTGGGTGCACTTACGGCAGAGAAGCGACTCACTTCGCTTGGTCAGCACCTCGCCAACTTGCCGCTGGATGTACGTGTAGGCAAGATGATTATACACAGTGCATTGCTCCAGTGCCTCGACCCAGTTCTTACCATTGCGGCCTGTTTAGCAACGCGATCGCCCTTTATTGCTTCGATAGATTTTCGCCGTGAAGTCGAGGCCATCCGCCGTGCATTTGCAGGCGAGCAGGCATCCGATCATCTCTCTTCGTGGTACGCGTACCGGCAATGGGTGTCTGCGCTAATTCAAGATGGTGCGGTGGCTGCGCGGAGTGTGTGCACCAAGTCTTTCCTTTCATCTACCTCTCTAACGCAGATTCAACTCACTAAAAAACAATATGAGCGTTATTTATACGAAGCAGGATTTTTGGATGAGGGCCACGGGGCCAATCGAAAACTTTCGAATGGGAAATTTCTTTTCCCACCTTTTGTTACGCTAGACAATCAAGTGTACGAGGCCGGAGGGGATAAGTTCAATACTAATTCTTCCAGTGTGCAGTGCATTTTGGCATGCCTCGTTGCGGGGCTCTATCCCAACGTCGCTTTTCTCAATCGAGCGAACGGGCAGCATGCTCGCAAAAAGTCGTCACCGCCATTTTTTACCACATTTGACGGCTCCCAATGTCTCATCCACCCCTCTAGTGTGATCCGAAAGGAGCAAAGTTTTCCTTCACAGCTAGTGGTTTACGTCGATAAGATCAAGACGTCAAGCACGTTTTTACGCGAAGTTTCTTTTGTGTCGCCGCTGCAAGTCATCTTTTTTTGCGGCGGTGCACTGGAGTACTTGCCCAAGTACGAGAAGCTCTGCTTGGATGAGTTGACGGCTTTTCACTGTAATAGCAAGGATGCCGAGTTGTTGAAGCACCTCAAGGACCAGTTAGATTCGGCCCTTACTATTAAAATTAACGACCCATTAAAGACTTGGGACTCGGTCAGTAGCGTTGTGGTCCGGGCTATTGTGCGCCTGCTCAAAGACACGGGTTCCAGCATGCGTGGGATTACCGTTGTCGACCGCCACCAGCCCCGGGCCCCATTGACAGCAACGCTAGCGCCACAGGAGGAAGTTCAGAATCAGCCAGCGGCTATCATCGTTCCGGAAGATCAGCCATTTAAAACGAATAAGTCTTGCTATATCTGCGGTGACACAGGCCATGTCTCAAGATATTGCCCTAACCATCCGTCCCCAAAAAAAGGTGGACCTCCTGTAAGATGCTTCATCTGTGGGCAGTGGCATTATCCACAAGACTGTACGTTAGTTTTGCCTCTAAAAATCTAGCGCAGAATTAATGTAACGGAAGCAACCAATTATATTTTTAGGGTGAGAATATTTGTAAAGTTTAACAATTAATTTAGACTCTGTATTCTGCTTTTCGTTGATCCTCACACAATTTACCTCATAAGGTATTCTTTTTCTTCCCATAATAAATTGCATGCCTTCAAACGTTGCGTAATTTTTTTTCTTCATTTAGGGGTCTAGTGAGCATAGAACAAATTGCCTCTGTCTAGCTTTCTTTTTGAATTGTTTAAAGGTTTTGTTGGCAATCCGTTATCTAATCTATTTTTCTCATAAAGCCATGTTTACAATCCAGGTGGCTGCCGATATATTTGGCAACAAAGTAAATTTTGAACTTAGTTTTTCAAATTGCCCATCAATTCAAGAACTTACACGCAGTATAGAGAATGCCTTCTCGGTTGAAATTGCGATCAAGCGTCCTGATAATGTGCCTCTGCACACTTTCCATATCTCGAAGGTAAAAATTTACGACGAAGAAAAGAACAAGTGGGTGGATTTGCTCAGTGACACGCAGCTTATTGATTATTGTCAGCTTTACGCCTTCCAATCCGAAAATCAGTGGCATAAAGAAACATTAAAACCAATTCCGCCTGCTGTGAGACCACCAACACTACCCATCTCACAGCGCCCCAGTGGGAATGACACCTCGCTCATGTCGATCGACGGTCGTGGCCCGCCTGCCTTCACGCATGGTGCGCTTGCGCTGTATGGGGGTGGACGCTCTGAGACATCATCCTTGCGCCATGGGGAGAACTTTTCTGCCTCTACAGCGTTAGTTACCAGGGTAAATGAGGACGCTTCCCAGGATGAGAAGCTGCGGTTAATTTTTGCTGAGTTCGATGTGCACAAAAAGCGCTCATTGGATATCGAGAGCTTTACTAAAGGGTTCCAAAAGCTGGGGTTGGATTTTTCTATTGCAACAGTGGAGGAACTTTTTGAACGCGCTGATCATAACAATGATAATCGTATTTCCTATTCCGAGTTTGAGCGCTTCGCTCGATTATACCCTATAATGATGGATTGCCTTTTTTATCGTTGCAAATCCTTCTGGGAAGAGGCGCAGATACAAAAAGATATTGACACTGAGAAAAACGCGGTTGAAAAAGCAGAGTATGTGCTTGATCAGGCGATGCATGCGCTAGAAAGCTCTGAACAGGATGTGGTGAATGCTGAGGAGTCCGTACGCGACTCGGAGGTGGCGCTGCGCGAGCGCACTGACCGTATGCAGGACCTGGCAAGGGATATGGAGTCTGCTAGGCGTGAGAAGGAGGCAAGATTGAGGGAGAAGAAGGAGCGTGAGAGAGATTTAGCCGCGGTTAAGGAACGCGAAAAGGCCTTGCGCAGGGTCTTGCAAGAACGTATCCGTGAGTCCGATAAGTTAGAAAATCAAGCAATGCAATTGGCTAGCGAAGCTGCAGCCTCTGATGAAAAGGTACGTCAGCTTCAAAAGGCTTTAGAGGAAGCTAAGCGGGTGTCTGAGCGTGCTCACCGAGCGGCTGATCAGGCTCGAAATGAAGCAGAAGAAGCCCGAGAGACAATAAAGAGCTCAGAGCTGGAGTCAGATGCTGTGTCTCACCAAATACCCAGGGCCGAAGAAGCTGTTCATGCCGTTGAGCGTGCTGTATCAGCTGTCGAGCAGGACCTAAAGACCCTTGATAGCGTGGGTAAGGATCTTGGTCGTGAAGCTGAGGAAGTGGCACGTCGTCGGGATGCAAGCATACGGACTGCCACGGATGCTAAAGAGAAGGTCGCTCAGAGGAGCCGTGAAATGGATTTAGCTCGACAAAATGTTTTGGACCGGGAAAAGATGGTCAAGCAAAAGGAGGCAGACCTACACGAGCACCAACTTCAGCGAGAATCGGTCACCCAGCATGAACGTGCTCTTATCGAGCAAGAGTTGCGTCTTCGTACGCAGCGAGACACATTGGAACAACGGGAGAGTAAGCTTATGTCTGAAGCGTACAACTTTTTGGGTAACATACGCAGCGCCGTGCCGCCAGGAAAACTGTTTTCAAGAGATTCATCCACGCTTTGAACCCACAAATTGATGTTTCAGAATCTTTCCATTCTTGAAAAAAAAGGTGGAAATATTGATCGAACAAATTTTCTATTGAAAACAATTTTATAGACTCGCAGTAATTCGAACATTCATTTTTTATTTCCACTTACACGTATTAGAGCAATTGCCATGCTCTTCTATTTGACTTCTTTTTTTTAAAAAAAGTAAGCAGCAAATTCCGTCTTTCTTTTCCTTTCAAAGACAATAAACGGAATAATGAAGCGAATTCTGTTCATTTTTGTTATTATGGGTCCTTGTGTTGTTGATATTGCCCTTTCGATGGGTCTTAGAGCCTATAGTATTTTTCCCTTTGTGATTTTCTTTTTGAAAGAACAATATAGTTGACAGTAGACATTCCAGTCGTCAATGGATTTTTCCAATGGTTACTAGAAATGCTGGATTGTTTATATTTTCGATAATGTTTGGTGTGTAGATGCTTGGGAATTATAATTCCTTTACTTTCTATGAGTTGGTAGTGGGGTGGAGCTTCAGCGTACTATTTACATTAGATATTCAGTAAATAGGGACAAAAGAGTATGCAATAGTATTGCCACTATTATTATCTTTATGATTATTAATATCAGTGTTAAGAATGTGATAATGAGCAATATTCAGGTTTACTACCCATTTTCTCATTCAAAGAGACTGATAAAGCAAATCTAGATTTTTCTTGCCATTATTCGCTCGCTTGCATTTGATGGTAGTTTCTTTTGTCTAGCAGAATCCTAAAACAAATTCACTTTATATGCCTACACGCATACTAAAGAAATATATTTAGAACCCAACTTTATCACATACTTATGTGGTCTCATTTTTTTTGTAAGATTTTTTGATTATTGATGTGGGAGCTCAATATGTTTGATTTCTATTTTCCCCTGTTGCGTTTTGCAGATATCATGATTTGCATTTTAGATGGCATCTTTTCTTCTCAATTTTTTTTCAAAAGGGGTAGTGAGATGAAAAAAAATAACCTGATCAATGCTGAGGTTTCATTATATACAAATCTTAAGAATAGAACATAGTGCATGCGCATTCCCCATAAGGAGCTTTTTTGGAACTGTTAACAACTTTGATGCCTCAAAAAAGTTCCTAAACAGTGGGGAGAAAGGTGTGACAGGGATGACCCAGGCCGAGCACTGCAGACTCTATCGTTCCTTGCTTAAGCTTGGTGAGGAAGGTACCATGATGCGGCATTGCCTTTCCGTTCATCACCCCCTTAAGTGCGTTTCTTATGGAAAGCGATTGGAAAGTTTGCATCAGGCTCACAACGTCACTGTTGTAAACTCTTGCAAGATCTCCATAATATTTCACCCAATGCAGCGTTTCCAGTTGTTCCTTAAGAGGCATTTTTACAGCTGGAATATCTGCCTTTTGAGGCTGTCTCTACACATTTGGAATGTTGTCAGCGATACACTTGTGTACACACTGTTCATAATGATATTTATTCTTTTCTGCATGATTTTCCGCCTCTGTACAGTGTTACTCCAGGCTGATCCCACCCCTTCCCCTATTTCATGGAGCACCAATGGATTAAAGGCAGATCTTAAGCATTGGTGATGACTGTGGGTAAAGATAGCAAATGACAGTATTCCAAACCACCTCAATTTCGCATCGAATTTATACACATTGTATCCACTAAAACAGATTCAACTAAGATCAGAAAGATGTTGCTTTCTCATGTTTTGCTACGGGATTTTATTGAGTAGTAAGATGACCAATCGTATTGGACTTGATTTTCAGGAACAACTCAAGCAAAAGAGAAATAATAAAGTCAGTTAATTGGGTTGAAATGACGATTATATCATCTTACTTGCAGTCTTTGTCATTTGATTGTAGTGTTGGAAAATCGCTCCACAACCGAGTGGTGACTTATTCCTCCTGGGGAAACTATGATCAAATAGTTAAGATAGCATGCACCTTCGCACTCCCGATCACAAAGGGCTAGCTTATCTTATGCACGTTTCTACTGCTCATCTCCATCTGTTACAGGCAAGTAGGTCTGCTAATACCCCTACTTCAATCCTAAATAACGCTTGAAGTATCATTACGAAGATGATCCACCAATCTTCTCATTTCACCGATTTGTAGATGTCAATTTAAGAGAAATTGCTGAAAATATGCACAGGTCTTCAACGGATGAGGGTCGTCGCGACCGCAGTGCCACAAGCAGACTGCACCGAGTTTCAATTCTTAGCTGATCGCAGCTCCCTTAAAAAGAGTATTATAACCATGTTTCTATCCATAGAACGCCAGAAGACTTTCGGAAGACTTCATCCCACCCGAATATTTGTAAGGGCTCAGAGATTCTCTTGCAGTCGCACGTAAGTATTGCTAAATTTAGTGACTACTAGTGCACCGTGAGTATAAGAAATAACAAGGTTATGTAATGGAGGTAGGGGGTGTAGTGCTAAACAAGGGCTTCAGGGTTGCACACCTTACTCTAACGTAAGGCGCAGTCTCAGAGGCATATTTGTGTACTTGTGCACGTCTTTTGTTGAATGCACCCGCTTGCGGGGCAGAGTCATTGCGCCCAGTGAGTGGAAGTGCTTTGCCAAGAACGCACCCAGGATGGCCCGGAGATCTCTACTCTTGAGCTATGCGATGTGTACAAGCGAATATTGTTCATTGAAAGTACCACAACGTGACCGTGGATGAGGCTTCTTTTAGCGAGCATTTACGCAAAGTATGACGACGGCGAGAAGGGGCTCTGAACTAGTAGTACCCACAGGTTCATCGACAAAAAGGCAACCCGCCTGAGCAGGAGTTGTCGCTAGCGGACCCACGTGTTTTTCCTACTCACATTTGCGACAAGCAGAGTCACAGTTCTTTTATGGAGTTAATAACAGTCAGGATGTGTTGAAAGGGATGTGGTTTAGTCCTTAATATCCGCCCCTAGCCTGATATGGCGTAGTCGTGCTGCATATGTGACAATGCTTACCACAGTAGCTCTGACAGAGTGTAGAAAGGTCCGAAATGAATTCGCTTCATGATTCATAACGAGGGCTTACATAGCATCTTTAAACGTGTCTTGTGTTGCTGTCTCAGACACTTTTCATCCTTCCTTGTGTTCTTTCTGGTAAACAACAGCTATTTCTGTAGCCGAAAATCTGGGTTCATATTTGTTGATTCTGATTCTGATTCACATTCTCTTTTTTTTATTAATTTGAATTTCATGCTTCACAGACATGAGCATTTTTGCTATGGAAATCCGTCACAAGATTTCCAAATATTTTTACTTTGGTTGGTTGACATTACTTTGGTTTGCATTTTTTTCCTTGAGCCTATATGAACAAGCAATAAAACCAAAAAAAGAAACTCGCACTTTCGAGCCTTCTAATTTTTGTATTGCATTCTAATTTCAATCAAACATTTTTTTCTTTCATTTTTGTATTGTGTGTTTCTTTATATCCAGCTCATGCACAGGGTAGACAAATACCAAAAAGTATACATATCATATTTTCTCATTTTTTAGTTTGCCTTTTGTTTTTCAATTACTAAAATCCATATATTTGTTTCCTATAATATTTACGTAGTCAAATTGTTTTCCTTGTAGAAAGTGTTTGGATGTCTAAAAATATCAAAGCTTATGTCCGTGTCAGGCCGTTTTTATCAAATGAACCTACTACAAGTTGTTTATCCGTAGCAGGGCAGCACTTGACGGTTGGTGATGGACATTCATTTACCTTTGATACAATATTTGGGATTGAATCTACACCTGAGGATATCTTCGTGGAAATAGGTCAGAAGATTGCTGATGCCTTTTTAGACGGATTTAATACATCCTTGATAGTCTATGGGCAAACGGGATCTGGTAAGACTTTTACCATCTTAGGTCTTGCACATGATGTCGCAAAAGAGGCGTTTCGCAGCCTTCGTGACGCATCATCGTATAAAGGTTTAAGTACTGATAGCAATGCTCCTTCGACTAATACTAGCACTGAACGCAGTTCTAGTGAAGGAGGGCATAGCACTGATGCTTTTACACTTCAAGTTAGTGCTGTTGAGGTGTACAATGATCAATTAAGAGATCTGCTTGAGGCGAAGCCCTGTGTCCCTGTCAATCCCACTGGTCCAGTTTCCACGGGTATTCACCGTAGAAACATGTATTCTTCAAATTTGAATGTTTGGCTTGGTACACTTGCATCTACTGCATCTACTGCATCAACCAAATCACCATTGGTTCTGCGTGAGGACTCAAAGGAAGGTGTATACGTTGCTGGCCTCACCAAAGTCAAAGTTCATGAAGAAGAGGAGCTGCTTGCGTGTATTTCTACCGCCTTTACTAACCGCAAGACCGCTTCAACTTTGATCAATTCATTGAGCTCGCGCTCCCACTGTATCTTTACTTTAACTCTGCAACGTAAAGGCGTCATTTCCAAGTGCTGCTTTGTAGACCTCGCGGGAAGCGAACGGCTAAAGAAGGCGCACAATTTAAAGAAAATGAAAGGTTCCTCTGTTAGTTTATCTACCTCTTTATCTGACACTATAGACAGCCAGAACGTAGTGGCAGAGCGAATGCGAGAGGGAATAAGCATCAATAGTGGCTTGCTGGCGCTCGGAAACGTCATAGTTGCTTTAGCTGGAAAGAAGTCACACGTGCCCTACCGCTCTTCCAAGCTCACTCGCCTGTTAGAACCAATGCTAGGTGGTAATTCCAGGACAGTCTTCGTTGCCTGCGTATCGCCGCTCTCCACGATGATGGATGAGACCTTGAACACACTCAGGTACGCGGAGCGCGCCAAGTTAATTAGAACAAAGCCACGCCTGGTGACATCTACTTTCCAAAGCCTCGAGCACGCAGAGAAAATCATCATTAGTCTTAGAGAGGAACTAAGGGACGTTCGAATTCAGCTACGAGCAGTCCGTAGGAGTCACAACAACGACAAAACGTTTATTCAAAGCGCAGACACTGATATAAATAGCCAAGTTGTGGAGGTGGCGCAATTAGAAGCGAAAAACCTGAAAGTCTTACCTGATCTTACTTCGTTGCCTTTCCTATCCACCTTATCACCCCATGAGGTGGAGTTATGCAAACAAATTACCGATCTGCAGACCAAACTTGACCAAGAGCGGGAGGTCACAAAGCGCCTTGAGGAAGATTTGTTCTACAGTGAGTACACCAATATGATGCAAGCGAAAGCGTGTGGGGAGCTTCGAGAGCGTGTGCTAGAATTGGAGAGGCTTCTGAGTTCTCAAAATACTTCTAACAATAGGACCCAATGTAATACTCTCGAATATCAGGGTAGTCCCTTAAACCTGAAAGGGACGCGCTCCACTTGGGCTGCAAAAAATTTAGAGCAGTTAAGACAGTTAGAGAACGAATGGTGCTCAAAGCGTCCGCCAAGAGCCTAGAAGAAAATTAGCTTTATGCTAATTTTTGTTCTTCCATCAACTTGTAAAGTGCATTTAGTTCCGCATTTTCTGGACGTACTGATTACAGGCTTCAAATGAAGAAGTTAGCTGTAATGCCCTCATTTATGAATAAAAATGTTCTCTTATTCCAGAAAAGTTATATAGGACTTCAGGAGGTGTTGCTCAATCACAAGCTGTATTTTGACTCACTCTGTGTAAGAGAAAATAAGAGAGAACAAAGTGTTATGTGAGGGTCTAACTGCACGTCGAGCGTTATTTGTATTATCAATGAAGTTGATGGATATATCTGGAAGACTGTCCACACAAGGTGTAAATGCATACCTCTATTGGTCATCAGTACACTCAATGATTGACATTGATAAATTCCACCAGAGTATTCTAGAAAGTACCACAAGAGGCCCTAAAACTGAATAATCATAACCCCATAGCTTTGAAATAAATTCATTTTTGTCGTGTACAAGTGAATATAAACTCAAAAGGGTTTGTTAGGAATGCATTCGCATCTTTATTTGCCAATTTAATCCTCATTTGCATACTGTTCCAGATTTTTTCATTCGATTTGTTAGCCGTATATCTACGTGGAATAATGGTAATGGGAATGATACTTTAAAAATTGTGCATTCACTATCTTAATATGTGTTTACTACATGATTAACAGCACCAACGACCTTTTTATGGTATTTAAGGTACTTAATACTCAGACGCTATATAAGTCTGTTCATTTGCTAACCTCCCCCCTACCTGTCGAAGGCATCCAGGAGAGTCTCTTTCTTTCTTTAACTTCTGGTGGGGTTTTGCAAATAGGCCGTAGATTAACGTACATTTGCGAAGAGTTAGTAAGACTTCTGCTTTCTAATTATCTGTGTATTGCCTTAATTTACGGTAAGGGTAGTAATTCCATTAGTAATGTCATACTCTCTTATTATGAACCAAACTGTTTCGTCTGAGCTTCCTATAATGGAAGCTCTCGTATTTCTATTAGAGTCCTTAGTCGTTTTTCCAACTTTAGGTAAAATTTTTAGTCTTATTATGACGAAGAGAGGAATGAATAAGGGTTTGTAAAAGGGTACGAAGAATGGGTCTACGGCTTTAATGATGCTGCTACTGCTTACGCGCCCCAATTCTAATGGTTTGACTTTTCCTATCTTGTTAAGATTTTTCTTTTTTCGATAATTGGAATCGCAATTTATCTCAGATTTTTTACCTAACGTTTAGTATTACATTTATTGACCTTTTTGAGTTCAATCCTTTCAAACAGATCATCCACTCTTCAGCTCCCCGTGGCATTGTATAGTTGTACTTTGACACGTGTTCTTTTTGGTCACTATAACACACATACCAAAATATTGATAACAAGTGCCAATGGCTTGATTGGTACTTGTTTTGCTACTGTTCAACTTTTTTTTTTAAAAAAGATGATGACATGTTAGCATGTAGGTCTTTTTTTTTCACTGTTGATCATTCATTATGCTTTTCCTCGCAAAGATACATATTATGTTTCGATATATGTATATGTACATATATCATGAGCATCAGATGGTGAAGTCTAACATTTGAATCACTGTGCTGTTTATTTCTAAACAACTTGGCTTTTGCGATTTTTTAAAATTAAAAAGGATATAGATGAGTTATTTTGTGTCCACGTCTGACTCTCCGAATTTCGGAGAGCTTTCGAATCCTATGGACTCAAAGGTTCCGGAAAACTTGATCGTGCCATCGTCCGTTGATGATATGTTTGACCTGGCAGCCCCACCACTGGAGATGCCCGTGGTGGCTCGTCTCGTACCACTCGTTTCCAGTTTACACGAGCCGATTCCTATTCATCAGGATGACGGAGTTATCACGCTTGGGCGTTCTAAGGTGTTGCCGCCCCTCTATCGCATTGATGCAAGTGACAAGGTGTCCTCTAAGCATTGCGAGCTTTCTGTGAATGTGGTTACTTTGAGAGTTACGTTGAAAGACATATCAACAAATGGTACGTACATCAATAGCGAGAGACTGAAGAGAGGCGTGGTGGTGTCTCTGAACCCTGGTGATCATGTTTCTTTGACTAGACCACTCCCCGCATCACCTTCCGGGCTGGACACGCAATCAGGCACATCTTCTGTAGGCTCTGTGGAGTTTATTTTTCAGCGCCTCAAAAATGAGACTACTGTCGACCTCGTCCTGAAAAAGTTTACCTGTGCGATATGTAACTCCGTGTACCTTCGACCTTGTAGCGTGTTGCCCTGCATGCATGTCTTTTGTGGGTCCTGTATTAGTCAGCGCCTGCGCCAGCAGCATTTCAAGTGCGTGGTGTGTCATATGCCTATTGACGAAGTACAACTCACACACAAAGTTCAGAGTGGTGTGGAGCAACTACTGGCGGCTGCACCCATCTACCGCCGCTCGGCTGAAGAGGAACAGCGGCTGGAAGCACTCGACGACATTCCGGCTACAGGTCGAGTGGTTCTAAAGGATCACAAGCGGCAGCGGGATGACGGAGACGATCATATCCATAGTGACGATGAGGAGGGTTCTTCCACCGGCCCAAGCGCCCTTGGCAATGGTTGCCCTGCTACGCTTATCAATCCACGTGCCGTATTTATGGGCTCCTATGGACATGCTACCGCCACACCTGATTCGCGTTGCCGGCAGTGTCAGGTGGCCTCGACTGTTGACGGCTTCCAGTGTATGGAGGGAACTTCCCACCTGACTTGTCAGGCCTGCAGGACGCGTTTTCCCGAACGACCACTCTGTGGTCGGCCCCAGAAGTGCCACCTGTGCAGCATTCCGTTTTGCAACCTGTATTTCGGAGAAGAGGGTGGCTGCCCAGCAGTGGGGCTTTCAACTCTTGATGATAATAAATCACCTGTTGGTCTACGCCCTCTCTCTACCCACGCCTTTTCCAGCATCCCTCCGAGAGCATTTGCTGGCAATACCACAGAGCAGGCTATATTCTCTGCATATCTCTCAGATCACAATATTTCCGTATCTACTCTTTGGGACGAATGCATAGGGATCCTCCGAGATGGCAAGTGGAGGATAGACCTGACAATTCTCAATGGACCAGTTACGGCCGAAGCACCCGTGTGTTCACGTTGCGCAGAGTCTGTCTTTTCCTCACTTCTTTTTATCTACCGCAACATCATTCCGACAAAAGAGTTGCCGGAGTCAGTGACGGAGCGCCCGAATTGCTGGGATGGCATCAACTGCAGCCTACAATTTCAAAAGGCGGAACACGCGAAGACCTACAACCACGTGTGCTACCAAGTAAAGCGAAAGGAATAATATAGGGTAAAAACGTAATTATTGAAAAAGCGAAACGAGTAAAAGAACTTAAGATGAGAGGGAAGGACATTGTTCCCACGATAACTAATCGCATGTGGTACAAGTATCATTACTTTGTTTTCACTTCTTCAGGACTTTTTTCGATATCTATGCTTTACAATTTATTCGAATTCTTCGCTTTTGTATGTCAGGCAAATTCTTAAAAGTTATAGCTCATGCATTTGATCAATAAAATTAGTGCTATAAATCACAGTTTCTTACTTGGACCGATAATACACACCAAAGCAAATCCTGTGGAGTATTTAGGAAGCAGAAACAACAAACGAAAAGTTCCTTGATGGTGGGCCACTTTTCCAATAGAGGCGACGCTGAGAAAAGACTTTCTCTGCGGTACATCCTTTCAGCAAACCGCCCATTATCACCTGCGGAGCAGCGTTTCCGGGCGCACGGCTACGCAAGGGCTGCACTGCTGTTAACCATGATGGTTTACTTCATCTACTGCAATCCGGAGTACAGTTATACGTACTCGAGAATGCGGAAAAAGTTTGGTTGGGATCAAGGTGACTCGATCTTTCCTAAGTACCTCGAAATTCAGAAGATTCCACCTAGTGTTGGGGAGAATACATGATAGATTCTCTCCTCACAACGTAAAGTAAAGAATCGAATTTCATCAAAGAGGCGGGTAAGGGAATAAATAGCATTGCGGTCTCGTGGCTTATGGAACTAGTATTGTACCTATTCTTTCCCGCAAACCGGTGCTGATTTTTTTTTTTACATCAATTAGCTGTGTGGTAGCGCTGCAAAAGGTTTGGCTTCTCATTCGAGAGCACAATCAGTTTGTATGTATATATATATATTTGAGTATATGCACTTAAAGTATGTGTGATGGAAGGAAAATTAAGTGATTTATCTTTCCCCATTAACATTTTCGGGAGGATGAACAGGTTGGTGGGAGTAGTCCTGAGAAAGTTATTATTTTTTGAAGTATCGAAATCTTACCTGTTTAGTTTTTATCTTTACATTATTTTTGTGGAGCTACTCTTTCTCCCCAACATCCTTTTTTTTTTTACTGACCCCTGTACTTCACGGGTCACTAAGCCCTTATTACGAAGCTTTGGTTTACCTAACTATTTTTTCAAATATAACCTTATTTCTGGCGAATTATGTTTAGTCCCCCAGTTTACCTCTCTGTAGGTGATGAGTATGACAAGCATTCCACACAATCCAGGCCCCATGCCAGGGATAAGAAGGCTTTTGTTGTTGCTGCTAAGCGACACCCTTGGGTTCAGGACGCATGCTTCAGCAAATTCATCTCTCTCTCTGCAGGCGACCCGTATCGTTCCGTTGGTTTTGGAGGTCCTTTCCGAGCGCAAGGCTCTTCGACAGTGAAGTCAGAAGCTAAAGAACAGAAGCTGCCTTTTCTTCCACCTGGGGTTCCACACAAGAGCAGTGGCAAGGGTGACTACTATGGTACTTTTTCCGAAAAGAACCCGTATAAGCATGAAACGGAGTTTCAACTCCAGAAAAAGCCAGCGGATTATGTACCCCCTCGGCCGAACTTTTATACAAATCCACCAAAAAAGGGTACTTATGGCTTCCCGGGCTTGTCAATATGTAGGGCTGGGGAGGTGCAGTATGTATCTGACCCGTACGACGGCAGTCGTAGGCAGGAAACTCTCAAAAATGTTGAATCTAGGAAGGATATGGCTGCGCCGTTTTGTGCTCATGTGCATAGTGGCGGCTACTTCGATAAAACTGAGCACGGTTTCAGCAGCGTATATACTCTGACAAAGCCTCTGCCCCCTAAAAAAATGACTGATTCGACGTTCCAGTCTCGACCAGCTGAGCCATGGGTCCCCGCTTGTGTCTTGAAGGATGGCATAAATAGATTTCCTGAATATCAAGAGGACCCGTACTATTTAAAGGAGCGAAATATACGTCTGACACAACAGAAAGAGCGTGAGTACAAGCCATGGTATCCGTCTGGCAACGATCCGTATCGTTACATTTATACGAAGCCGATTCCGTACGACCCACCGGCGTAGGACAACAAATAAGAGAGAGAGAGAGAAAGGTTGCATGGAGGATAAGACATTTGATATGGTTTCGCATTTCTTCGAATCCTTTTTCAATACTCTTTTTCTGCAACTAGATCCTTTCTTTCTATGTCTTTTAAAAGCTTCCCGTTGTAGTTTCAATCTTAGATATTCCGTCTCTTGTAATGGGTAAATAGAAGCTATTTTAATTTAGCTTATACAAACATGCTTATTTTTTCACTGCTTTTTATTAGCACTGAAAACGGCAAAACGAAGATTTCCATGCAACTTGGATGCTTCATTAGAGTGTGTTCACCTGGTTTAAATATTCTGAATCCGAAACATTTCCTTGCTTCAGGGTTTGAATTAAATTATTTTCACTCTGAGAAGAAAATGTGAATCTTCCATGTAAATATAAATGTACGCTTGTTCTTACTTTCTCTTTTTTTATCCAAGGATGTATGTGCAACCTTCACGTGCAAAAAGGGGAAAAGCTTGAAAATCTGTCTGTCTTTGTTTTCTGCATGTCTTGCTGAAGGAATAATTTTGGGATTCAACTGGTGATAGACGTGTAAAAAGGGAACGATGCTCTACCATGTGCAGCCTTTCTGTGTTCCAACCATTGCGCTTTTTTTTTTTGCATCATCTTCCGTATTATCATTTTTTGTTTAAATAACATACCCAAAGGCCTGTTAGAACGGATTGTTTTTTTTTTCATACTTCGTACATTTTTGTGCTATTTCCTTATCTTAAAAAGGTTTGTGTGTAGATGTTACAAAATTAAATGGAAAATACTGCATAGTAATGCCTGGTGCGCCGCCATGCAATCGGATTTTAGAACATGGGATGTACATGCTAACGATAAAGATAGGACGGATGTACTGAAATACATAAAACCCTATAATGAATAGCCTTCCAAACTTGACGAATTGTATTTTCATACTGCTTGATCAAAAGGTGTAGGTCTACCATCTATGTGCGAAAGGCAACTAGAGAGTCACTCATTATGGTGTGGTTTCCTTATCAGACTAACATTTCCCCACAAAATTGACGCCGGATTGAAATATAATCTGAATTTTATTCTCATTACTTTTCCTAGGGTGTCATGCACCCGTTATGCACATAAAGAAGCTTCTCTGAACTCGTATCTCATTTTACGTGCAGGGGAACATCAACCCAGTCGTACAAGTCGCTTTCTTATCGTGCGGAGGGAGGATTTTTCGGTGAAAACTCTTCTGTATTTTTACTTTGTGGAAGTAAAATGTGGTAATTGCATAGTATGTGATAAAGCGACCACTGAACATGAAAAGGATGATTAGTGAATATGATATTTTTTTTTCTGTTATTGATAGTGATCATTTTTTCTCCAATGGGGGTGTGGAAGAAGTAAATCTGAAGCGACTATTTTGAACTAGAGATCCTTATGTATCTTCCATGTGAAAATACGTTCTATGAATTATGTTTAAAAATTTCTATGGGACGACTGGTAACAGTATACATCTATTTATCAGTATAGCCCTGGATAAGGGTTTTAAGGAGATGAATTGAGCGCATAGGGGTACCATATCTACACGTACGCACACAAGCAGACTTGATATTTTTAATGATTCCTGCGCTGAGCAACGGGTGTGGGATTAATAATTTCTTATTCTTCCTTTTTTTTCTGTACTTTTATGAGCACCCTCATCACATTAACTCTTGGACGAAAATTAAAGGTAGAGGCTTTCACATACAAGAAGGAAGGGGTGATATACACAATTATAGATAATGCTTCGTTTTGCAGGCCGTCGTCTTTTGACTGTATCAGCCGCCGTCAACTCGACTCCATCGAACGATGTTGTACATGCACAAGAAAGTATACTTGATACTCTCTCACCACGGAAAATCACAGAAATTCTAGACAAATACATTGTTGGTCAAGTTAGTGGCAAAAAGGCAGTCGCGATCTCATTGCGAAATCGGTGGCGGCGACGTCAGCTGAAGGACGAAGATTTGCGCAAAGAAATATTACCCAAGAATATGCTTCTGATTGGCCCCACAGGGGTTGGTAAGACCGAAATTTCTCGCCGCATGGCACGCATCACCGATGCTCCTTTTGTGAAGGTTGAGGCCACCAAGTATACTGAGGTAGGCTTTAAAGGCAAGGACGTTGAGAGCATTATCGAGGAACTTTATACCAATGCGAAAGTAAAGGCTAAAAAAGCACTCGAGAAGGAACGTGAGGAGGAAGCTCTGAACATGGCGCTGGATGCCGTGTACAGTTCTTGGATCATAAAACAACGTGCCAGTGCGTCGGATTCATTTCCTCAGACTGAAGGCACGATCAACGTAGATGAAAAGGAAGACATTGATGGGGAGGAGGCCTCTCGGTTATCGAAACGTAAGTCGTCTAGCCGACGTAAAGCTAATCATGATGATGGAAAAGGCGATCAAGTAAAAGGAAAAAACAAAGACGAAGATGTGGATGGATCGAAGGATGAGCTACTAAGGAGTGAAACGGCTGATAATGGGACACCCTCGTTGGTGACATCTAAGGTAACACTGGAGTACTTTAAAGAGCACTATAAGGATATCTTCAAAGACGACAGCGTCACTGTGGAGATTGCGGCTCCACAGGCAAACCAAAAAAACCTTATGAGTGGTGGTGTCGACCTGCAGTCTGTAGGCATCCTCCTTGGCATCGGCTCTGCCGCGCCTAGAAAGATAATGGTCAACAAAACAGTATCGGAGGCGGTATCACTGATGATGCAAGAAGCACTAGGGAAACTTATCGATGAAAACACTGTCAACACGCTTGCGCGCAGCCTTGCCGAAGAAGAGGGTATTGTTTTTATTGATGAGATTGACAAAGTCGTTGCCGATCCTTCTATTAAGGGCGATAATGGTGATGTGAGTTCAACGGGTGTGCAGCAGGATCTTCTGCCACTTGTGGAGGGATCTAACGTTACTATGAAGGATAGTAGTGTGATTTCCACTGATAACATTCTTTTCATCTGCTCGGGTGCTTTTCACGCTACCAAGCCATCTGATATGATAGCAGAGCTGCAGGGCCGCCTGCCGGTGCGGGTAGAGTTGACACCCCTCACTGAGGAGGACTTTCGCTGTATTCTGACGGAGCCTAAATTCAACTTATTGAGGCAGCAGAAAGAGCTGCTTAAAACGGAGAATATTGAAGTGGTATTCACAGAGGACGGAATACATGAGCTGGCACGGGTGACATGTGCAGTTAACAGACAGGGTCAAAATATTGGAGCCCGTCGCCTTAATACCATATTGGAGCGAACCATGGACACTTACAGTTTTAACTGTGAGGACTACGCAGGCAAGGTGGTTATAGTGGATGCGAAGGTTGTCAGAGATGCAACCGAGAAATTGCAAAAAAATGTCAATCTTGCAAAGTATTTACTGTAAGACAAGGCAAATCTCAAGAGAGGAACACACAAAGGGCAGATTTAACGAGAAAACGCGATCCAAAGCCATCGGTGATACACAGCACATGTGATTGAGGCAAAGTTTTTCTTCTCGACTTGAAACATTGTGTATGTCTATCTTTTCTTAAATAAGTGACGTAATTTAAGAACTTGTGCATAAGCAGTAGTAACACGGCTTAGAGCAAGGGCACCTGTCCACTTGTTTTATCGATCTTTCTTGCTTATATGTTGTGATACAATTATTTTATATTATGAAGGATTAGCTGAATGCTCTATGAAAGAAAATGATGAACGTAGATATCTTTCATTTACACTGCCACTTTTCCTTTGAATATTAGTTCATTATGTGTTTAGCCTAATGTTTCTCATTTTATTCCTCTTTCTTTGTGTTGTCTCTTTTGGTATTATTTTCCTTTTTCCTTGCTCCGGTTATTTTTCTTGTTTCATGACTGAAGTATGATATAGGGAAGTCATTGAGTTATTCTTCTTTTTTGATTGATCCTGAAAACACTGCAAAATTAATATATTAAAACTATTCTTTTGTCGCACAAAGTTCACTAGGTACTTTTGTTCTTACCAGTCCATATATTTTATTCTTGTTGTTTCCTTGGAGTAATTCTGTTTAAGCTCTCGTTCTACCCATTTCCTGCAGTTTATTTCCTTAACCCGTCGTTGCGGTTGATACCAACTGGCCCACAATGAGGCAATTTAAGGAGGCTAACGCGCCACATGTTTTAGCTGGCTCATCCTGTGTTCCACCCGAGTCATCCAACACGGAAGACTTTAGCTCACCACCAGTGGACACATTACATGGGGAGGAATTAAGCAGCATTAGGACGACTCTAAATTGTAGCCATGACGATGCAAAAGTAGAAGCGACTCCTCAGAACGCGAAACCAAGTAAGGGTTGTCATAACAGCGCAACTGCTGGACCGAGGCAGACCTTTTCATCGAAGGTTACTCATGATAGTATTACACCCGCCGAGCGCCGGGAGAGAGAAGCTAAGGCTAGTCGTCACGTCGCCTTTAACTCGACAATTCTCTGCCCGCTAAGCAACCTTGGCAATACGTGCTACTTCAACGCAGGCATCCAAATACTGTCTAATTGTCCAGCCTTTGTCTTCGGACTCCGCGACGCGCCACACTGCTACGCGGCGTGCCAAAAATGCGTATGCTTCTTTAACCGATCCAGTAATAATTCCAAGCATACATTGTTTCGACTGTTGGCGAATCTCCTGTACAATATGGAGTATGCAACTCTTGAAAACGGTAAGGCAATCACGCCTTTTCGTGCGGTAGACCAGCTGGCTGAAGTGTTTCCTGGTTTCGAGGGCAGAAGGCAGCAGGACTGCCCGGAGATGATTAACGCTGTGTTGGTAACCATCGAGGATGAGCATAGACTGGAGCACGAAGTAAGTGATCTTTTGATGTCTTTTGACGCTTCAGCGCAAGCATATGAGGCAGAAACATGTATGTCTATCGATAAAGGTACCCATATTGTGGGCAACCAGTCAATTGACTTGTCTGAACCTTTTCCTAGTTCAGGTTGCATTGAATCTTGTCGGCGCCACGCTTTAAAGGATCAAACAGGATCGTCATCTACTTGTTCTCGCGATGCTTTACCAGGACCTCGCAGCGCCCATTTCATCGCTATGCTCCGTCTTATGCAGAGAGTCAATGAGGAAAATCGTGAATTGGAAATGAAAGCAGCAAAACGCAAAGGTAAGGCCTACGACCCACAGAACAGTTTTATTCCGCCGCGCCTTGTCTTCAATCCTACAACGGGAGGCTTCAAGGGCTACATGGTGTCCGAGATTCGTTGTCACAACTGTTTCAGTGTCTCCAGGGTGGTAGATAGCTTTAGTTCGCTTATTTTAGAAATCCCGTCGGAAAGACAACGGTACGAATTCGCTAAACGCAATCCAAACATTAAACGTCTTGATGTAAATGGGAAGCCATTTCCAAACAGAAAGTCCCCTGATGCTGCATGGTGGAACCCTCTGTCTCATCTTTACCACTTCTATAGACGCTTCTACAACTACGTCTTTGGCTGTTTTAGCACTGTAAACTATGCACTAACGCTGGAGGAATGCTTAGATATTCATTTTGAGTCTGTGGAGTTGAACGGAGGGAATAGGTACCAATGTGAATCATGTGGGGGATTGCATGAGGCAACCAAGTCCGAGTTTTTGTTATCCTTACCTGAGTACTTATTTATTCAAATGAAGCGGTTCAAGATGAATACCTTTTCGAAGGTCAAAAAGTCAGACCCTGTGATTTTTCCTGTATCGTGGACCCCATTAAAAGAGGGAACCAAATGGGAAGAGATACAGAAGTCGCGCACAGAAATACTTGACCTTCGACCCTACATGCATCCGACGGTGAGTGCAAATTTTCAAACAATTCAGCCGTGTCTGCAGAGCAATAGTATAAATCAGGATAGAGATGCGAAAGCTTTAGGTCTTTCAGAAAATCAACAAGTTCCCTCGACTTACTCCTTAGATGGAATTGTCAACCACCACGGCTCCCTCTCCAGTGGACACTACACCGTTTTTACACATAAAGTACTCAATGATAAGAATTTGTGGCTTCACATAAACGATGAAGAAATAGAGGCGGTGAGTTTAGAAAGTGTGGCTGACTCTGAGGAGTATCTGTTGCTGTACCGATGCCAGCCTATAGTGGAGCCGACAGAGGAGTTTGTGCGACTGCGGGACAAGGCGCGCTACTACTTGTTGGAGTCCCGAAGGGCCCTGCAGGACCATGATAACGAGGCTCAAGAGACCACAAAGAGTTGTATCCAGACGCGCCACGGCCACCACCACAGCACTGAAGTGAGGAGTGAGACAAGGAAAGACGGCATTGTGTACATATCTTGCGCATGGCTGCAGCGTATGGCTTTTTTTCATGATCCAGGCCCTATTATTAACAAGTTGTGTTATCGTTCTAATAAGCATCACAAAGGAATGACAAACCAGATAGGTGTTTCTACTGCCGGTTCACGGATACCCGAAACGTTGTTCCATGTGTATGGACCACCGGTGTGGTGGTTCTATGTCGAAATTGATGAAATTGATTACCGAGCGTTTTATGAGGCCTATGGGGGTGACGCTGCTGTAACAAGGGCTGAGTATGAGGCATTGGAAAGAGATCAAAATGTTCTTATAGAGCTACTTCAAAACAAATCAGACTGAGATGCAGGCTTGGTTGTGGTGAACCAAAGAAATCAATCAGCAAAATCACAAGCTTGTGATGAAAATGAAACGGTCATACTAACGGAAAAGTGCTTAAGGTGGATTTGAATTTAATATTTATAATGGAGTAAAATTGGTAAGCTGCAAAATTTATTCCCTGCATATTTTTATGGTTTATGGCTCGAATCCTGTTCCTAACGTTTCTGCAGTACAATTCATAATTCACCTATATACTAATAAGCTTTATGATGTATGAATGTTTTGTGTGCATTAACGAATTCATTTTGTTTAGCTTTTAAGTGATTTATTTTACCACAATTAAGTTTTCAGTTCTCATACGTTCTCCACCTCCCCGGATAAAATCAAAAAGAAGGAAGGCAAGGGAAAGGAAAGAATGGATCAATCCAAGCGCGATAATCTAACATGAGCTCCTTTTTTCATGGGAATGTTTTCTTTTTTTGAAGTCCATAGAGCTAACAAGTAACCTTTAATCAACCTCTCATTTCATATACTAACACAAGAGGGGGAGGAGAAGACCACTGAGCATAGAATAGAATACAAAAGGAAGCATACAATCGTACTAGTTGTAGACAGCTGATGGACGCTGATCACTTAATTGACCTAACTCCTTTGCGGCCACAAAGACCCCCAACAGAGGAACGTGACGATCGTAATGTGGGTCCTCAACGTGATAGCAATGACAGGATTGGTACGCCTGTGATTTCTGTATCGGCACATCTCCCTCGGCGAGAGGATTTGTCTTACATATGGGGTACTAACATTGCTGTTGAGGAGTTTAGGGCGGAATTTAGGCGTTATTTAGAAACCTTTGAGGTTACAGGGCTTAAGATATCCCAGGTCGACTCACATCATCCTATTCGAGGAAATACTGTCACTGAACCGTACAGTAATCGATCCCTGTCTTCTGTTTTAGGAGGTGTCAGTGCAGCTTCCTTGAGCAATCTTCATACTGGTGTAGTTGATGCGGTGGGCGTGGGGGGCCGGGGTACAGGCGAAAGGTACTACCTGAAGGAAATGCTGTCTATGCATCTACGGGGTCGCAATACACTTGAAATTGACTTCACCTGGCTTCAGCAGACTGCTCCAGTATTATATCAACAAACAGTCAATCACCCTACCGAATGCCTTCAGATGATGACAGGCGTTGCTGAAGATCTTTATCGTGAAGTACTGGAGCACCGTCATGGGATTAAGGTTGCGGACGACTTCATTCTGTACCTGTCTGCTAAGAGGATGCCCTCCCTCATAACCATCAAGCAACTTTCTCCACAGAACCTCGAGCAGCTGCTGAGCATCAAAGGAATGGTGATACGTGTCTCAAAGATTATTCCTGAGATTCGAGTTGCATGCTTCCAGTGCTGGCACTGCCATAACATTGAGCGCAGCGTGAGTGGGGACAAGGGCCGCATCTTTGAGCCCACCCGTTGCAATCACTGTGGGCAATCTTACTCGTTCAGATTGCAGCACAATTTATCTATTTATGAAGACAAGCAGCTAATCAAACTGCAGGAATCACCTGAGCATGTCTCTGACGGCGAGACACCGGTCTCCATCTCCCTTGTTGTGTACGGCGGACTTGTGGACTCTGTGGTACCAGGAGACCGTGTGGTAGTGACGGGTATTTACCGCTCTACTCCCATCCGTCTGAATTCGAACACTCGTATCATAAAGAGTATCTTTTCTACACATTTGGATGCGGTTCATATCGAGGCATCACGCATAGCCTCTCTAGGCAGTAGCCCTAGTGGTAATGGAGGTGTCAAGCGACCAAAGCCACGCGTGATGGCGCCTAGTGCATCAGGGGCTGCTTCAGAGTCAGGTGCAGCGGATCCTAATCGCGGTTCCAGTTTTTTCGATGTTGACGCGATGGATACGGCGCGTTTAGACATCTTTCACCACCTCGCGCGTCGTCCTGACATTCACGATATTCTTATCCGTTCTTTCGCGCCAAGTATCTGGGGTCATGAAGATGTGAAGCGTGGCATCTTAGCGCAACTCTTCGGTGGAACGCCCAAGAATTTCGTTTTCAATCGCCGTCCTGAGGGCAACCAGACGGGTGGAGATGGCAAAAGTGACGCGCGTGATGCAGGTGCCTACCTTTCCGATCCCGTTCCCCCTCAGTCGGGGGCTGACTCTAACAATCGTGCCAATTTTCGCTCATCCCTAAACGTCATCCTATGTGGGGACCCCGGTGTGGCTAAATCACAGCTTCTTACGCAGGTCCACGAGATTGCTCCGCGTGGGGTATATACCTCAGGTAAAGGCAGCAGCAGTGTTGGCTTGACTGCTTTTGTGGTGCAAGACCAAGAAACAGGCGAGCATGTTCTTGAGCCAGGCGCTCTTGTCCTCTCTGACCAAGGACTTTGCTGCATTGATGAGTTGGACAAAATGAACGAGGCTACACGTTCCGTTCTCCACGAAGTCATGGAGCAGCAAACGCTCTCTGTCGCCAAGGCTGGGATTATAGCTCAACTAAATGCACGCACATCGATTCTCGCCGCTGCGAACCCCAAGGAATCCCAATGGAACCCGCACCTAAATGTCGTTGAGAACCTGCAGATCGAGCCAACCCTACTATCTCGTTTTGATCTGATCTTCTTGCTTCTAGACCGACATGATGTCAATGAGGATCGCCGTCTCGCTTCTCACGTCTTGTCGTTGTACATGGATCACTGCGACGGCGGTGTTGGCAATTTTTCTGATCAGGGGCAGCTCCGTGTGGTACCCTGTGGGCGCGGTGACTGCGATGAGGAAGCCACCGGAGGAGACCGAGGGCCACCTCCATACACGACAAGAACAGAAACAGGCGCTGCCGCGGGACGGCTTCCAACACCGGTGGGCACTCACGTTGATCCTGCAACCGGCCAGCGTGTAGAGGTCCTCCTCCAGCACGAGGGTGAGCCGTTTCTATTCGGCCCCTCACAGCGCCCATATATGCCAACTGCAATACTCTCCAAGTACATAGCTATTGCACGTGAGACCATCTTTCCGAGGCTTACTGAGGCGGCTCACAAACAGCTAGCCACATCGTATATGCAGCTTCGCCGCTCGCGTGGGAGTCAAACAGTCTCCGCTACTTTGCGCCAGTTAGAATCTATGATAAGGCTGTCGGAGGCGAGAGCAAAGATGCGCTATAGTCCTGAAGTGTCTGTGGATGACGTTCTCGAGGCGAAGCGGTTAATAAGCGAGGCGCTAAAAGAGGCTGCCACTGATCCGCGGACGGGTTTGATCAACTTGGATATCTTCCACGCGCCAGACCCGACCAAGAATACCATGGAAAGCTGCATGCGCCGTCTCGAAGAGGTTGTGACGCGACAGTACACGTCCCGTGGGTTGCATACGGCATCTGTATCAGAGCTACGGATGGCGCTCAATGAGCACAGCGGAGCTCTAAAGCCGATAGGTCCAGCTCAGTTTATGGAGTTGCTTGCGCTGTTGTCGGGTGGTGATTGTATAAAGAATTTTACACGTACCCTCGTAACCTTTGCGGAGAATGACAGCGTGCGTCACTGAGAGAACCTGAAAATTGAAGATTATCGAAACAAAGGAAACAGACAATGAATTACAATACCAAGCACCTGCTCGCAGATCACTTGATCAAGCGTCAGAGAACAGCAACAAATATGCAAAGAAGTGTAATGCCTACTACTCTAACTCGTCAATCCTTTTTGGGAACTCTAAGACATGAAGTCCATCGGTTTCCATAATTGAAACGGTTTACTTTTCGATCTTAATCATTTTCCTCATCTCTATCTCTCATCAACATATATGTATATATATACATAAAAAGTGTTTTTCCTCCTTTTAGCGTGGGGGAACATTTGCCTTGTCGAACGAGCTTTATAATTCAAACTTTTCAAGTTTTTATTTAGTTGTTAAAGTTTTAACGGTGCTATCCACTTAAGAAAGGATCATTAATACAATGCCTAGGATACGCCCCGGGATGAAAAAACCACCACCAGGCTTTGAGGCTATCAATGATGCGTTAGACACCTTTGAAGACGCCATGAAGCTCGCGTTGCAGGAGGAATCTACTGGAGTGGTTGGACAGACAACTTGCCCACGCAACGCTAAGGACAAGGACAGTTTTGTCGAGACAAGGCGCAGGCGAGTAGAGGGAGTGCGCGGGGAAGATGATACAAATGATGATGAGGATAATGAAGTAAAGGACCCTAAGGAATCATCGCAGATTCATGACAAAGCTCAGGCTTCAGCTGAGCCTATGCCACCGCTGTGGCGAATTGCTCAAATTAATCATGAGCGCACACGCTACGTTTTTGATGCCTTTTTCCGTTTGAAGGCCATCAGTAAGGAAGTTTATGACTACTGTTGTGAGATGCAGTTTATAGACGAAGGCCTGGCACGGCGCTGGAGGCTACCAGGGTATGAACATTTGTGTTGTATAGCATGTGCAGTTCCTGGTGCCGCCAGTGTGGCTGCGTCTATAACGAGCAAATATGCATTGCGCGACAAACGCGAGCAACGGCACGCGTCGGATTCAATTCAACAAAAGAAAGAGGACCGTTTGACGTGTATATGCCGTGTTCCAGCTTCTCAACGTAAGAACAAACACTTCTTTGCATGCACTGTGTGTGGTTGTCGCGGTTGCTGCTCTACAGACGCCTCAAATGAAAATAAAAAAACAGCAGGGAGAGCAAAAACGACTGAATAAAAAGAATTCCTCATAAAGTTGATTCAATCTGCTACTGATTTCCCTACCATTTATTTTTGGTATGCAGCAGTATCAATAAAGAAAAACTTTTCTACTATGCAAAGTCTTTTTCTTTTCCTAAAGCTCTTTTAATGCATCCTATGGTGAGTACTAATACGGAGTTGAGAGTGTGTCGATCCTCTGAGATGCGATGTTTTTGTGATAAAGCGGGGTAAACGGTGGTCATTATTCCTCTCACATTTCTAAACTTATTTAAAATCCATTTAATCTTAATTACTAAAAGTGTTCAAGTAATCAAGGATTCGATCCTGCCCTTAGTTCAGGTATATACAAACACGTTCACATCTCTATGAAGTAATAAAGGGTACTTAGGTGATCATAAAAATGCAATTATCATCTCCCTAATTTGTTTACCGGTATAGGAACAAGTATTGAGATTCCCTGACAATTGTTTTATCTTTTTGACTCTGATTGGCCCCCGTCACATTCATCAAACTTAGTCTTTTTGGCTTCCACTTGCCACAACCGCTTACAGTATTTTCCTCGGCGTGAGGATTGAACGTGTAAGCATGCGCCACATAATGTTGACCTGCCCGTTAACGTATGCCATAAGGATCTTGATGATCGTTTGTATCAAATATTTTTCATTTCCCGATATCTACTTCATGCGAAAGGATACTCATTCAGCGTAGTTTTCCTATGACAAAAAATATTGATTTTAGAATTTTGTCTAAACAATTACGTGGGATTTCCATGTAGTCTTTTTCGGGTCTACTCCACTGTGCGCGTGTCGTAGGATCGTCATTGGGTGATTTTATCATTACCAAGAGACATCAATACCCTCATAAAAAACGCAATAATGTTATCCGTCTTTCAGTATTCCTCTTCGTCTTTGCTATGTTCGTAGGGACCAAGCATCAGGAAGAGACAGCTAATTACAGTGACACATACGTATGCTCTTTTGCACGGATATCTTCCACTAATTCTGATGATGGTAAGTCAGTAGTTAGTGGTGGCCTTCTGGCACACAAAGCAGGAAGGGAGGCATCGAAATAAATGTGAAAAAGCGGTTCCATCCTTTTATTTCTTGAAGATTTTTAGTGCGGGAAAAATTTATCGTGCTACATTTGGCGCACATAATTATTACATTGGGGACTAACTATTCAGGAGAGGTACAGTTACCTAGTACTACACTCCACGAGCTGGTCAACCTAAAATTGCGCATAGTTCTGTTAAGTTTGACAGCTCATCATTGACAAAAACCGAAGTCTGAAGTTTTCTTTTCGACCCCATGGGACACGTTTATGGGCTAAAGGTCTCCTATTTGCCGTTTAGGGCTGCTTATCATGATATTTGTTGATATTTGCGAGAACCTAAAGTCTGTGGAAGTGTTCACCGGCATGTTGAAGTTTCTGTTGCGCTCTTGGATTTCCTATTATCATAGTTTTTTCCTTACCTTCGATGTAGTGCTGTTTTTGTGGCACTGTTATAGATCCGCTTGGTCCTAGTAGCCCGTTGGTGTCAGTGTAGGTCTCTTTTGCTGCATGCTTCTTGGTACGCCACTTGTGTAGGATCACATGGAACCTGTATGCTGCTGCAACCGGCTTCAAGCTCACTGGTACACTTCGTTTTGGATTGTTAATGTGCATTGCTCATTTAAGCGCATCAAAAGAATATAGTGACCATTTCTATGGCATTATATACATTCTCAAGAATAAAGGGGACATATTGCGCGTGGGCGGCGTACCATTATTGCTTTAAGAAGTGCATTTTAATTATCTAGAATCTATATTTGCATCACTGATCGTGACAGCAACACTCTAGGGTGTGTTCGGCGTAGCTGAAGATAATCATGAGAATGAGGAAGCTATACAATTCAAATAGCTGCAGTGCGTTGACTCACAGTTGCCGTATGGTGAAGAAATGATTTTTGGACAATCCAAGGACAGGAGTGGGTCTGATCTATGTGGTATACAGTGATTTGCGTCCTATATCCGTCCAATTAAATGGGCCACAGTACAAGGTTAGCTCCAGTATTTAATTTATTAAACGTTTTTTTCCTCTTTTTCTTGTATGTAGTGTGTGCACAGGTAATTAATGCACCATTTTTTGTCTTACTATAAGTGAAAAGTTAATATGTAGTTATGTATTCATTCGGATTTAGCTATAATTAAAGACATGTCTATCGTGAGCATTAGTTAATACTTTAGGGCTCATTATCGCAATTGAAACAATATCAACAACAAAAGTGTCGTCTTTATCGAAAAGTGACACTTCTCTAGACGTGTAGCAAAATTCAAATTTATAACCGTTGATTAGTGTGTCGAATAAACATGTGTAGTATCTGTGTTTCTTATCCACTTTTCTCTTATTCATCCCCTTTAGCGTGTTCCTTTTTTTCCCAATCCCTCCTGGAACCACTTACTGTGCGTTTGCAGTAGCGCCATGGATCCCTGCAGATGTATTGACCGCATTTGATTTTTTTTACGTTTAATATTGTTTTTTCTTTTGATAACTAATCTATATTCATGTAAACTAACTAAAAGAAGTGCATTTATGCGTATCAGCTTCTTTTCTCACGAAAGGAATGATGAGTCCCGGGCGTTTTCAGATCATGAAGAGGGACAAGGGGGTTCACCCGATAAAAAGATATCATCTTTTTCTCTTGTTCCCCCCCAAACATCGAACAACATAAATATGACGAAATTAAACTTTTTAAATTCTTTCCTCCTTTGTTCTCAGCTCAGGGTTGCTTTCCTAACCATGTGAATATGTATGCCTTTTTACGAGTACTGCTCAATCGCCTGCCATTGCTCCTTTATATTTCTACAAGTATGTGAGTAAATTGGTTTAGAATATTAGCTGAGCGTGTTGAACGGATGCTAAGCTTTATAGTAGAGTTTCTTCTAAGTATCAGTATCTGTGCTTTTTTGGCATATTTTTTCTTCCTTAGCGCTCCAGTAGAGGATGATGTCGAATCTGACTTGAATTCCTCTCAAATTAGTCACGACCGACCGCGCCGGCCGGTGAATTGGTGGGAATCCTTTATTATTTCTCGGGGCGAGGAAAGCCTTGTTGCGGTGGTCTATCGACATATCCGTGTTAGCATACTAGACTTAGACGATGTTTTCGCACGAAGCCCTACTGTTGAGGGACAAACCAGTCAACCAACGGAGATGCAACACTGTCGCAACACGAGCAGAGGTGTTTTTGGTAAGCGACAGAGGCTGATGAGACAGCCGCACCACCCCGGAAGCGATTTCCAAGGGGCTCATAACACTATGCGGAAAGAGAGCGCGCTCTGGGTAAATGTGGTTGGCCGTTGGTTGTGCATCCTGTTTCTGGGTGGTGGGACTGTCAACATCGATGTGTGGTCTGACCGCCTGCGTTACGTTATGGAGTGCGTTGTTGCTCGTGTGAATCGCACCCTGGTGGCAAAGACGATCAAGGCACCGGATCTCATGGCACCGGCTCCTAGAAAAACAGATGCACTTGGTCGTCATCCGCATGTTGGTGTACTTCACCTTGAATTAGGTCCTAGCCTTTATGTAGCGCAGAGGAGTATATCTGGGATAACCAATTCTGCCATTGATGCGATGCAGAGAAGCATCAAGGAGGCTTCTAACTTAGCCTCCACGTGGGCGGCGGTCTCCGCGAAAGTTGTGAAAAATCTTTCTCTGAGAAATAATAGTGGCGGGAATTCGACTATAAGGACTGACAAGGCCCCGACTGGCACAAACAATTTCCTTGTTGACGAAAGTAAGGCACATGATTGCCCTACCTATACTAGTCGTGGCAACACCAGCAGTAACAATACTGGATCTCTCCCTGGCGTTGGGGTTGCCATTCCACGTCTTGCTGGGGATATCGTCTCTGTTGAGCTGCCGTCCTTCGCTGCAGTAGCGTCGGGCACTGCAGCGGAGATTCATACTGGGATCGGTAAGTTAGATCCATCAGTGCAAGTAGGCGCCGGAGTAGAGTGTGACACCCTGAACAGGGCGAAGCTAAATGAATGTATCATTCCACCTTCCGAGCAGGCGGCACCGCCTTCGCTTTCTTCTGAGCTGGAGCGCACGTTAACTAACACAGCAGTTCCTCGTCCGTTCCCACTGCGCTGCTTTAGCATACCCATCTGCTACGAGGATCAGCGCTTCGCTTTGGATTTGGGCTGTTGTCTCCCAATTCTGTCATTCTTGCCTGCCAAATTATCCATACCCGCAGACGTGCTATGTATCGAGTGCGTTTTGCAAGTACGCCGTGTGTCATTCTTGGGATGCCTTTATGCCGCCTTTCATGGTCCCATCGTCGAATTGTCATTTCCGTGTCTTCCACAATTCAACGCTGCGTTTGAGGTCACTGCCCCACAGCACTATCCTCGGAGGCGTCTCCCTTACCCGCCATCCGCGGACCCCTCTTCTGCTTTCACAACAACCTCGACGATGAGGAATGTTACAACCTCTCTACCTTCGGCGGGTTCGCCATCATTGGTGGCAGATGGCAACTTTGGTGGCACCGACGCCGCCAGGTCGACCTTTGCGAAGCTTGGTAGATTGGAGTTGCCCTCATCTGCCACAGGGTTCTCTTACAGCTGTATCAATGAAAAGAATGGAAAAATGCAGGAGCTAGTGCAGCTGGCAGTACTGAATGCCGTGCGTTCTATTACATATCCTAACGTTTTGGAAGGACGTATCCGAGGTAGCATCTCAAGGGATGGGGAAACAGGGAGCGGGCCTGCAGACTCTGCGAATGGAGCTTCTGACGGCTTGTTTTTGTGGACCCGCAAACGAGCAACTTTACCGCTGCTAGTACTTTAAGCAAATAAAATACATGCTTGAAGAAAGTCAACGTTCTGTTGCTTCTTTGTTGTGTTACTGGTTAACATAAAAAAAGATCACAATGAAGGTTGAGGATGCTCAAACAGAGAAAGATATACTTGCATTCACTATTGCCTTTGAAAATTAACATTTTTTTCATTGCAATTCCATTTAAATAAATTAAGTAATTCAGCTATTGCTGTTGCATGTTCAAGAAGGGACATTGCATCATTGCATGGGTACAGTTGCTAGCGCTGATTGAGAAGAATTACTACATTTGCGGATCGAAAATAAGTTACCGCTTAGGGCTGATAAGTTCTTCCTGACAATTGAATGCTTACATGTTACACTTCCAAGGGATGATGACGAGCTATTACTCAGATTTCTGTTCTTCCCATCTCTGAGGAAAATCATCTGATTTTCATTCATAGCTCATTTATTTGGGAATCTCATCATCTTCGGCTCGGAGGGGTGCGTTTGTGCATGTGGTATTCAGCGGATTGAGCCACCACTAACTAGGGGAAGGGTATGTTGTCCATCACAATACAGTATTCGAGGTGTACTCTGGGCAATAAAAACATTTTCGCCGGGATGACGATGAACGTTTGGTGGCTCACTAGGGTTTTTTCGTAGACTTTATCTAGGCATAATGTGTGGTTCAGCGATCATTCAACTTTTCAGACTACTCTGTGATTTTTGTTAACATTGTAGCACACAGAGGCGGCATACAGTCAGACGTCATGCAGTAATATGCATAGGTTTCTCTGCACTCTTTTTTTCTTTTCTCCTTAAACCGGGGACTTCAAATACACCGCATAGTGACTATCCGTGTTTTCTGATTTCACAAAAACTTGTCCTTTAACTCTGAAACATTAATTGGACGCCTTTGCTGTTGATAATCTATACACATTGTTTACAGTCACTTTGTACTCTTGTGGAAAGGACTGCACTAGCCGCCCACGAACGGTCTTGTAAATAATATTAAGAATTCGTCGTTAACCTTTGGACAATGTCATTGTTCAGTAGCACATCGCAAGTCAATGTGGGAGAGTAAGAGAGGAGGGAGGGGGGATTAATAAAATAGCTTTTGTGATAAGGAAGCCCATGCTGATTGTGTAGCAGCAACTAGCATATCAACTACCTTGTCTCACTTCAACCCGAATCTGTGTTTTGATGGCAGTTACATTCACGGACTACCTTCTGAAGCAAGTCCATGCACCCCTAATCGTGGTCTTACCGCTAACTAAAGCACCGCTGCCAAGACCAAGGGGTGCTATGATCATTAGTGTTCCTAGTCAAGGCATGTAACTGACTCCTGATAGCAATTATAACTGTTTTGAAAGTTATCGGATGCGGTGGTGATACCTTTTTTTCCTGCTCTATTTTCCACAATTCTTTTGCGGCTGCTGAGTACACTTCGAATGCTACCGCTTCTTTTCACTCCGAGGGGCTCCGCGCAACTGAACGGCCGCAGCTTGGAGGGTGAGAGATAATATGCTATTTCAATCTGATATGCAGAGTGTGACCATTATACAGGTTTGCATAGCTTGCTTCGTAGTAGAACGACGACACACTTTACACATGGTTGAGATCCGTCATCTAATGTGAGCGTCAGCATTTTGCCAAGAAATGATACTAGAGGCCACGATGTGGTGCTTGTTATAATGGAGCCGCTTTATCGACCGCATTTGTTCTTCCATGTGGTTTTTAATTTAGCAGTTTGAATTATGTTTGTTATTATTTACCTTTCATGATAACGTCTGGCTAGGGAGCGCAATACTGTATTGAATGATAGGGTATATATAGAAGGGTAAGTATACATATTTTCTCTTTGCATCGTTGTCTTCCATTGATTCCACTTTTTCCAAAAAATTAAAGAAGGTTAATCGACTTGTCACAGAAAGGTCATATCTCCTTTGTACCTTGATAATTTTATCTGATGAGTTTCGTCTTTGAAGCTCGACTAATGCCGTTCGGAAGGATCACTGAGAAGCTAGCCACTTCTGCTCTAGACTTCCTGGGCGGCACTGATAGCGAGTCTTTCATAGAATTTCAGAAAATGCCCTTATGGAACCGTTGCATGTTGGCTGTCGTGATTCCAATAGTTTTGCAGAGACACAAGACTCAGTATCAGGACCAACGGGGGTACCTTAGTGACAAGAAAGTAGCCTCGGACTCTATTGAGGCAACCAAGGTCACTCATAATGATCTTGAGGTTGCCCTAAGGATAGTTAGCGCTCTGGATGATCTTGAAGTCACCGCAGAGCGTATCAAAAGTACATGGGAAGATGAAGGGGAAAGATGCGATCTCGGTCTTTATGATGAGATTGACACTACACACAATAATAAGGCTCATCAAAGGCCTCGAGATCATTGTACCGAGGATGATATCTGCACCGATGGGATGCTGCAAGAGCATATAGGGTCGGATGTCTCTTGGTTGTCTTCATGCAGTAGTGACAGTAGCACAATAAAAGCGTATAATGGGCATAGTTATCTCAACAAAAGTAACGAAACTCGTGAAAAGGAGGAGGTTGACATCGCCATGTGTTTCAATTTGGATGGGGTAAGTATTGGGATGGGCAATGCAAGCCTTTTTGGTGGTCATGGCTACCACCCACTACAGGCAGAAAAGTAAGAACGTTAAATTGATAGTAAAATGAAGATTGTGTATGTGTGAGTGGTTCCGAAGGGGGATGAAGCAGGTTCAAGCATCTTACTCTTTCTGAAAAGAGACCTACAGAAAAACACTAACTAGTCAACAGCATTTACTTAAGCTACTGCTATTAATACAAGTAGTTAAAGGGATAAATGCTAGCCGGGTTAATGGATAATATGCCTATTGATTTATTATAATGAGATACATCATTTCTGTAGTATATAAAATAGATTTAAGGCTGTGTCTATAGATACCTTTCCTCCTTTTGTTCTATTCTCGTTTATCGTGTTTCCAATCTAGAGAACCCTGAAATACAGTAAACAGTCGACAAAAGGTGAGCAATTATATTTGTCGATTTTATTGTTGCATATTTGAGTGCTGCGGCATTGTTTTCACAGATTTTTGAACCTTTAGGGCCACGCCACTCTGGCTGCAGGAACTTTCCAGAGGCTCAACCAGAAAAAGTGCATCTCATAAAAATTTGAGAGAGAGAGAGAGAGAGAGAGACACCCTTTGAAAGATATTTCAATAGGTATATAGGTACAACCTTTATTTTTGGTGCACGTGTGTTTTTTTCTCTATCCCAGATAGTTGGGGTGTAGGTAGAAAGGAGAGCATATGCATCAGACAAACCTGCATACTCGCATTACGCAAGAGGCAGGAAAACTAAGGTGCTGTTGTTAGTAATCCTCCTTCACTGCCATTAACGTTTTACCTTTAACGATAACACATACTGTTGGAAAAACAAGAAGAGGGTTGGTGTATGGAGGGGAGCTCTGCAACGAGTAAGAGGTGTGTAGCACACACTTCCACTACTAGCAATAAAGACAGTGGCTATAGGCAGAGCTCGGAGACTATACCAGTTGATCCTGATGAAATGGCAGAAGAGGATTACAAAATTCTGGTGGGCACACTGAGGGAGGTAGGAAACCCATTGACCTTCTCTCACAGTGTGGCAACGTCAGGCCTTTCCCACGTACGGTTCCTTTCCTCTGGCATTTCTGGTGTAAACTCCACTATCGATGAGGGTGGCGACGTTACACAAAACTCCCAGCGTAACACAGGCGCTGGAGTTTCCAAAGCACTGCAGAGGCTTTTGAGTAGTCAAAGTGCATGCAACACACCACAAGACTGGGAGGAGCGTCGAGCCCACCGACGCAGGCGGCTCACAGCCGACAGAGACTTAAGGGAGATGGTGGAGCATGAGGTTGTAGGGGATGAAGAGAAAGGCGAGCACACTGGAGAGGTGGCGGGCGAAGTAAACGCGAGAGCACCAGGTAATCAATATTGTTATCAGCGCAACGTAAGAGAGGAAGCCTGTTTTCTCCTTGAGCCGTCCCCACTGCAGGAAATACAGGTTGTAGATCAAGTTCAATCTACGATTGACAGTAAGACGCCATTTAACGCTACAGTTCCTATAGCGGGAAAGGACGAATCTGAGATGCATACAGCGCTAATGGGTAATGTATCCAGAACTTCACCACCATCTCTCTCAGCCACTTCGGTGTACCAAACAGTGCCGTGTGTTTCCGATCCAAGTACTACTAGTGAGGTGCCGCGACACCTACAACATCACATAAGCGGCCCCGTGACCCATGACTCGTGTCGTGATGAACTGCCCCCTACTGAAGGGCGTTGTGATACTACGACTAATGATAAAGAAGATGCTTCTTGCAAGTGCAATGAAGAGGATGCTTCAGCAGGGAAGCAGGAAGAGACAAGTATTAGTTTGTTAAATACTGCAAACGGTATTAAGGATGCTGAGGAAGTAGACGAGATGAAGAAACTTAGAGTTCATGACACACAAACACACCAAGGCGCTCCAGATGTTTATCGACCGCGTTCGTTTCGGCTTACGCAAGCATCTGCAAGTGCATCAACGTACAACGCTGGTAACGCAACGGCGAAGTCTGGACTCTCTCCTTCTTCTATTGTTTCCGCGGTTTCTCATGACACAGGTCTGAAAGGGCAATCTGAGAACCTGGGCCGAAAAGGTCGCCTCTCACTTTCCAACCTCAAACAAATTAAAGACGAAAATTATGCTGGAAAGAAAAGCAACGAGGAAGGTAAAGGGAGATTGACCCATGGGGGGGAAGACCCATCATCACCCCTTGCTGTTCCAAGAATGACGCTTCGTCTTGGAGTTAGTGGTAACAACATGCGGGATTTAACTCAAACGGAGAACAAGCAAAATAAGGAAGCCAAGGACATTATCCCAAATAATTTTTGCGTTCCACACTCTTCTGATCTGCCTCCGCCTCGACACCGAACACTTTCTCTGGGTTTAAGTGCAAATCCTGTTGTCGTGAAGGAATCGGATTCTTTAAACATTGTGACTGAGCCAAATAGCTTTTCTCCTGCTTTTAGTCCCCGTGAGACACCGGGGTCTCCGGGCACGGGATTAGGAACAGGAGTGGTTTCAGCAACAGCTGACATGACCTCCACGAAGGTGCCTGTTTCTTCGTCGGTCCATTTACTGGCCCATGCCGCAGTTAGTTCTCGAAATCTTGTGCAATTAGCTGTCCAACCTTATCCTGCGGCTGAGTCTGCGCATCCCGCTCAAGCTAGCGGAGTCCCCTCGCCATCTTCACCAATATCCACAATGCTGCGAATGATTACCCCTACACCTACTCCCACTGTTCATCACAGCGCTACGGACACTCCGTGTCGAAGGCATCGGGCCACACGAGTGCCGCTTCCCTCTGCTCCTCCTACGATTGATATCAGCATAGTCAAGCGTGTCCTTGAAGACCACTACCAACTGGATCGAAAGATAAGTGAAGGTGTTTATGGGGTTGTCTACATAGGCACTGACAAGCGCACCAAAGATGTGGTGGCCCTGAAGAGGCTTAAGGTACTGCGCGGGTTGGATGGGTTTCCATACACCTCGCTGCGGGAGGTGATTGCACTACAACACATCAACCGGCAGCGTGCTCGACTCGCAAAGGAGGAGATCCAGGGGGAGAGTAGTGGGCAGCTACTGGTGAAGTTAAACGACCGGCAGGAGGCTCACTATGCTGGTGCCCGAGCTGAAAAGGATCCACTCAAAGAGATGATCACGCTGCAGGATGTGCTTATATCGCGGGAGGGAGCGCACGATATCTTTCTTGTCTTTAACTACGCTTCTAGTAGCGTGGCTGGGCTACTTGTGCGCCACTTTCCCTTCGTCTTACCCGAGATTGCTTATATTTTTCGAAGCCTTGTGATAGCCACCAAGAAGCTGCATGCCATGGGCATTATTCACCGAGATATCAAGTCAGACAACGTTCTTCTCATGAAGGATGGCGAGGTAAAGTTGACGGATTTTGGTCTCTGCGCCTTTGAGGACTCAGGCAGAGCGGCACTGACGCCCAGCATGATTAACTTGTCCTATCGTCCGCCGGAGATGCTTCTCGGGAGTGTAGTTTACAATACTAAGGTTGATGTGTGGTCTATCGGTTGCTTTCTTGCGCAGATCTTTCTGCACCATCCACCATTCCACAAGCGCCGAAGCGCCGATGAGCAGGAACGTGCTGCGCGTTATAGCCGCAGCGCTGAGACGGAGTTGGAGCAGCTCGCTTTGATTGCTGAAGTTCTCGGACCCATCTCACAGGTATCGTCAGACGTCTTTCCTGCAGAAACTTGTAGCCACCTCAAGCATCTCCAGGAAATAAAGAAACAGATTGAGGTGGGTTTAGCCTACGGTACTTCTCCAAAGCTCTCTAGCAATAGCGGCTCCTCCACCGCGCGGCTGGAGGCACTCTTTCAGCCTAGTTTTTTATACTCGCAGTATCGCGGATTTCGTCGCTGGTTTAGTGCTGAGATGGATAACCGCCGAGTGCAGTACACTAGACGATGGCAGAATTCTTCTGTTACTACATCGTCCTCTATGCATTCTCCGCAACCCCCGCTTCTGCTCCCTTCGTCGGCATGCTTAGATGTACTCTGTTCCATATTTCAGTACGACCCGAAGTGCCGACCCACGGCCACTCAGCTGTTGAGCATGCCTTTTTTTGAGTTGTTAGATGATGGGGATACGACCGGATCAGGCTTTGTTGGATCGCCGCAGATCACTCCTTATGTTGGCGGACTTTCTTCGTTGAGTAGCGGTTCCATTGGCAGCAAAGCGATGCGAAACGAGCGTGAACTGAAAGAAAGGTTGCAGCGGGTGCAGAGTGGCCTTGCAAAGAAGCTTCAAGGGTTTCTCGACAGCCACATTAAGCCCAAATCGTAATATGGAATGAATCTGATTACGGCGTTAAATAGTTCATAAGAAAAAAAATAATGACAATCTTTCCGCGTGTATGTTAGTCCAAATAAACATACACATAGTACGTGAATATATAATGGATGTATAGACCTTAACAAAGTACTTGCATTATACTAGCGGTTTTGTTAAGGTGCTGTGAGTCAGATTCGGGATTTGACTGAACAAGGGATGTAG